CAAAGTCAACTATAAAGAGTGTACAAGTGGTAGCTCACCTTGAACATCACTCGCGCCCTCGCTTTCCTACGCTGACTAGTATGTCTGCACTGTCAGACCAAGCACTTGTTCAAGCCTACTCACGAATGTAAGTGGTACTCCTGCTTGCAACTGTTAGCAGCCTAATACTCACAACTTCGTCTCCTAGAGTCACGGGTAACTATATCGACGTAGCTTCCACGTGCAGGTACATCATTTGCCTTCCATTTCATCGCTCACACGGCATCTGCCCCTCAGGCCTCGTCACTTACGAGTTACTGATCACCTTCGGCAACGAGATTGAGATTGTTTGGAGGAAGCCTATCACTGCGCGTGCCGTGCTCCTTGGCTCAGTACGATGGTGTATGCTCCTCGCGGCCATCGTGAACATTGCGCCGGTAACTGCGAATGTAAGCCTTGAGTATTTCTGACTATGTGTATTCTGTGACAACGTTTGCCACAGGAGTAAGCACAGCTTGTGGAAAGATCTGTGGGCAGCAGGTTGCCTACTGAAATCTGATATATAGCTGTACGGCGATGGAGATCCTGTACTGGATATTCTTCATCATTCAATGTCTCCAGGCCGCACGTGTGCATCACGCAGTCTGCTCAAATCAAAAATACCCGCTGAGTTCCATGTGCCAGTATTTTCCGCCTTGCGTGTCTTCGCAGTACGGGATAAGAGTTATGTCTGGTCGCTGATAACATTCGCGTTGAGCATGATGCCATTTGCGACGAATATAGTGCGTGTTACTTATGATTGAACCTTGCATATGCTCTAGTTTACGCTTCCATGCAGTACAATGCGGTAACGGACAAGTATGGGTTCGATGCGGACCAGCCAGTGGGAGAAATATGTGTCGAGGGGTCTCAGATCTCTGCACGAACATATAGCATGTGGGTGCACATATCCCGCTGATGCACTTTCTGAATAATTTTGCATTATAGACGTATGTTCCGCGGGCAGAGACTGATAACATGTCGCAAGCACTGATACTACTTGCTCACAGTCTTGTATACCACACGCGGCTCCCTCATCCTCGCTGACGCTATCGTGCTCATCCTAACGTGGATTAGGACATTCAGACACTGGTGGAATGCCCGCCGCCTCAAGATAAAGGCGTCGCTGACGACATGTTTGCTGCGCGACGGTCAGTGGTTCTGTACGCGACTTCACATTTCCCTTCTCGTTGCTGAAGCTCAGCTACTCATGCAGGAACCATGTATTTTATGTGAGTTTAACGAAACAGCCGCATTAGAAAGAATTGCTCACAGGCGACGATGGGCACAGAGCTCTGCTGGTTATCGATATAGCCCAGCTGCTTACATTCAACACCTCTGACACAGTGCGTCCCCGGCGTAAGTACGTGAGCGGATAGCTAACGTCGAGCTTAAGGAGACAACAATAGTAAGCACGGTGATAACAACCGTGGTGCGCACCCAACGTTTCGTTTGCGCCGTTTGTACTCACGGATTACCCACGCAGCCCTCGCTGCTCATCAGCCGATTCATCATTAACCTCCGGACGGCCGACTCGACAATGTCGGACTACTCTATGCACATGACTGATCAGCACCAAGGACAGTCGGCACTGCAGTTCGGAAAGCCAACAGGTCGGTTTGGAGATATGGGGGGAACGCTGCAGGATGGCTGGGGCGACGAACGTTGTGATGAAGAGAATGACGTCGCGGAAGTGGGAAAGGAAGGACGTCATGAAACCAGCGCTGAAGCATGAGTCGGTATTCGACTTCTGAAGGTTTTGCCAAACTCCAGAGTACTATGCTCCGTTTCTAGGCGGACACTGAAATTTTTAACTTACGCGAGCAAGATGCTCGAAGCTTATGGTATTTACTAATCCCACTTAGTTGTATGCCGTCGGGAGCTGTGGCACGCGAATACGTGCATTCCGAAGTGATATTACAACGTTACACAGTAGTAATCCCAAATGGCAGGCTTGGCAGGCTTTAACGAGCACTTAATCCACTCAGATATCTTCACGCAAAATCCACACCATGCGTTCGAGCTCATCTCGCTGGTACTGATCAGCTGTAGGACGTCTAGCGCTCTGAGATATTGCTCACAACATCAGTTAGCATTGTCGATTATGGTGGATGACGTATTTCGCGCACGCCGTCCGGGCCTGGGCCGCCTGGCCGTACTGGCAGGAGCCAAGGCTATGTGGGTGGTCGGTACACTGGAATGATACACACAAAATCTCAGTGAACATACAGGAAGATATCCAGGGATTTGTTACACTGAAGCACATGGATCTGACGACACTAGACGTGAATGTTTTTTATTAAAATAGTCTAAAGTAGAATCAAAAGGGGCCCAGAGATAGTACTCCCAATCGATGAGAACTGCCAGCGCGTTGGAGTTGTCTGAAACTGCTTTGTATACAGAGATGTCCACTGAGCTTCTGTTTCTCGCCGCACCGGCACCCTCCCAGACACCAAGGCCTCACACGGGCACGCCCGCCGGCCGGTCCGTGTGCAGGATCGCGTGGACGTAGAACTCGTGCGGCTTGGTTTTTAGTGTCTATCGCAGCTGCAGATCGTACACCGGGTCGTGCATGGAGAACGCTGCATCAAGTAGACGAGCGTGACCTGGGATTCCTACCACGCAAATGTCCGGACCTGCACAGCGTGTCAGCGAAGCACATAGAGGTTTATGGCAGATGGTGCGTACAACGCAGACATGCATGCCAAATCCGAACGGCTGCCACGCGTCGGGCGGGCGCGGCAGAGTATAAGCGTGCAGCTAGCGCGGTCTATAAGAGAAACGCACGCATCAGGTGCGCCCCGAACCTGCCGTTGAGCATCCTCTCGGGCAGGAACTCCTCTGCTTTGGACGAACAGCGTCAGCACATGTCTACGGAAGCATAGTAAGAGCGTACGCACGTCCCGGCCTCACACACATGGATCACGCGGCGAAAGGATGGAAGTGCTCACGGATGTGCCGCAAGATGCTGATGACGTGACAGATGTCTTGAGTAGGTCTTATACGCGACTTGGGGCCGTGCCATCAGGCGACGCTCTTCCGCTGAATCCAGAAACCTCCCAGAGACGAGCGAGTCAGCCAGGAAAGGCGAGACCACCTGCGGAGAATTTGCGGAGTCACTATCGCCGGCGAGTGTCTATGATAAATTGGTTGGCTGGTCGTCTGTCATTCCGAAAATGAACAAGCGAATAAACAATTTACCGCTTGCCTCCGAGTCGGTGGAAACTTTCAGTGGAGTCAGACTTGGCTAACATAAAATA